ATCTATTTATCTATCTATCTATCTATCTATCTATCTATCTATATATCTGTCTATCTATCTATCTATCCCTCTCTTTGTGTGTCTCTTTCTCTCTCTCTCTCTCTCTCTCTCTCTCTCTCTCTCTCTCTCTCTCTCTCGCGAACATACACGTCATGCTCATGTGTACTTTAAATATTTATAACTAGATTCAGATGCAATCTTTCTTTTGATCCGTGCCTCCATGTAGCCAGCCAAGCGTTCATCCCACGACACCACCCCTCCCCCCGCCCCCTCTCATTGTCCATTTATTCTCTCGCCCATCCCATTTCCCCCCAACTCTGTCTGTCCATAATAGTCTGTGCTATCATGTCTCTTTTTCTTGTCTCTTTTTCTTATCCTTTGCCGTTTTCCTTCCTTTCTTTCTGTATTTCTTTTTCACCCTCCTTTACACCCACCCTCTCTTTATCTTTTGTATTTGTTTTCTCTGTCTGTCTGTCTGTCTGTCTGTCTGTCTGTCTGTCTGTCTGTCTGTCTGTCTGTCTGTCTGTCTGTCTCTGTCTCTGTCTCTGTCTGTCTCCTCTCTCTCTCTCTCTCGCTGTCTCTCCCTCTCTCTCTATCTCTCTCTTTCACTCTCTCTCTATCTTTCACACACATACACACACAAACCTCACAGTTTCACTACGCCCACTCATCCTCCTAGCTCACTTAACTAGCACTCCCAGCTAATGTATACCTATACTTTATAAGCTTCATAAACATGACTTTTTACTTTTATATCTCAATGAGAGTAGGCTATATCCTCTCTCACTATTTTCAACCCCATTAACTGACAGAGGACGTAGCCGACATTGCCCGATCAGCAGCCTAAAGGCTAGAAATCTATGTTTTGACATATTTCAGTCGCTCACAAATCAGAAACACAAACTTGCCCATTTTGTAGTTGGAACCCTTCGCGCTCGCAACGGTCGAGGTGGTCTAGATCAACAACAGAATGATGAGGACTCTCTAGATCTAAATCTCCCAAAAGCAATGTTAATGCTCCTATCATTCCTTTCATCGAAAGGGGGCCCAGCTAGTAATATTATAAATGCCGAAGATTAGAGGTGTTATTGCATCAGTGAGTAACATACATGATACAAAATAAAGAGGAGAGATAAGGACGGTATATGTTTCATAGGTGGAAAAAAGAAGCTAACCGCACTAAACCACCCACCAGCCACCCACTCCGCTGCCTCTTTCATCAAAACAAAGTCATAATTGTCCTCAGCAGTGTGTGTTGTGTGAAGCCCTCATTTATCGCTATTCACAGGCGGGGGATTGATCACGTGGGATTAGCCGTTGTCATGTAGACAAATAAACCACGCCTCGGGGGAATCCCCTTTTTTACAACTGTGTTTGTTCTGCAATTACCACTCGGTGCGGGATGGGGGTTGGAAGGGGTGGGGGGTGGGTTGGTCTATCTATCTATCTATCTATCTATCTATCTATCTATCTATCTATCTATCTATCTATCTATCTATCTATCTATCTATCACACACAGATCATTTTGGGTGGTTGGATTGTACTTTGGTGTTGTTTGCTCCTTCTTTCCTGTCAAACATCTGTATTGTCCTTATCTCTCATTATTTTCACGTATGTTACTGTTACTCTCTAGAAACAGCTCTAATCATTCTCACTTACTTGACCTATTTGTGTTGCAAGTGCTGTAAAACTTTTGGTAAAAATCTATAATTTGTACTTATCTATAATAGATACGATGCGAGTCTGTAAGAATATTTTAATTTAGTTCGAAGAAAGGCC